ACATGTCGCAACGAGGACCGTCAGGCTCGGACGTTTCCAGTCGTGGCGGGCGCCTCTCGACAGCGGCCTCTTCGTCTGTCTCTGGCGTCCGGATAGACCAAATCAGGGAGCCACTGAGTCGGGAGATCATTTTCTCCAGACACGGATTCGTCTGTCTTGTGGAGTCGCCGTGTCGGGTGACGTCACAAGGGTCGAGAGAGGCTTGCTCCAGGCAGTTGCTAGTGTTGCTGGCCTCCTGGCTAGCCGGTGTACTGCTGTATTCCATGTTTAGCCAAATTGAGAACGGTGAGACGAAATAAAAAGGGAACAACCGACAAAATTACACGAGCCAGCCCAAAATTGCCTCCAATATAGCACTACTCACTAAAATATCGATTGACTTGGAGGAGTTGAACTGGCCGACTTCTCGCAGGAATTTTATTCACAAAATGTGCTTTCATAGTGCTTGAATAATAACTTTGTCAGCCTCACTTTCGCATATTATACGAGGACCAACTGAATTTGGGCGATTCTCTCGAGGCAACACCAGTATGGAGACCATCATTTCGTATAAAAGTGTGTTTAATAAAGATATTACTGTGTCGACCTTACCGTTGACACAGTACATAAAATATCTTCCCTTGTTTCGCGTGAAAACGGGCCGAGCCTCAGCTTCAAGTTGATGCCAAGTCCAGAAGAATACCCGTCTATATATATTTATATATGTATATACTATACATATACACATTTCTATATATACTCAACCCAAAACTAAAATACACAGATAGGCATGGATATCGGATTGATTGTTTAGTTAAGCTCCTTTTGGTATTGCTCTGAGTTGTGGCCTGTATCGCGTGTTCTGACTTATACACTCACAGACGTTAACACCAGCACACACTCACACGCATATACAAGCAGACAGTCAAGTATAAGAGCCCTGAGTAATACGAAAGAGAAAGAACAAAATTATAGAATATCTATTTTATTCATTATAGGAAACTACTCATATCAAAATATATCTATAAAGCTATAGTATTTAGTTGAATGTATCGAGCATGAAAGATATAGCCAGATAGTCTCCTCGACTTGGTGTTAACTTGATTTTTTGCAAGAACGAGTTCAGGATTCGGTGACATCTGCCAACCATCCTAAACGATTACAGCTGAGCCCGTTTTCTTCCGAAACGAGGATGGATATCTCGGAAACTGCGTCACCTTGATGATCTAAATGAACCCCCAAACGGTTGCAAAACAACAGGAATCGGCCATCGAAGGCCGATGAATTCGGCCTACGAGTCTTTTCATCACACACTTTCATGCGAAAATGAACCCCCTCCACAAAAATATGGTCGTTTATTCTGTATTTTTTGCAGCCTTTTCTTTTAGCACTGGAAACCAAGCAAAGTAAGCAGATGAGAAGAACTCTCATGTCCTCTGATAATTGCCAAATATCCCATTCAGACACAACATTTTTCCCAAAAATAGACTAATCTTAGGCTAAAGGGAAAGTTTGGCGTCAATGGATAATTCATTGTAAATTCAAAGTAAAATGGAAGAAAGTTGCAAATAAGTCTTGTTGAAAATTCAGAGAGGGTTTCCGATTTGTGCGTAAAAGACATTTCCGAAATCTCAAAGGATCCTGGTCAAACTATACTGAGATTTCATCTGTCTTGCCACAACAGACACCGTCAGGCCCACAATTTAATAGAAAATGATGGCCTGCGGTGAAACTATCTTCATTTTGAGCCAGACTTTCAAAGCTTAATGGGCCTTTCCACCGCGCCAAAACTTAGCATTGATGACTGAAGACTAAAATATATAGATGTAGATTAATATATAATGATTTGATTAGTTAGCTATTTTTGTAATTACTCTGAGTTATGGCCTATACTGCATTCTTTGACTTATAAGGGTATGAACTTTAGTACACATTCATACACGCAAACACGCATACACTCAAGTATAGGTATCCTGGTCAATAGGAAAGAAATTTAACCAAGCCAATATACAGCTATTAATACAATTTTTATTGAGCCTGCTTCCATTTCACGTGATTGCATTTGATGTAGGGATGCGAATGTCGATCGCATCAGAAGACGACGGAGGATTGCATTTGACCCAGCTGTCGATTGGCTTTACTGGAATATTATTGCTCACGATGTTTCCAAGGCAATCTACTTCGATTCTGGTGAAAGCATGCTTAGTTTTCGTCCGTCGAATGACAGAAGGAGATTGCCTTGGTAACAGCGTCAACAAAATGTTCCATTAAAGCCAATTAACAGTTGATTAAGTTGAATCAGCCGTCATCTTGTGGTGAAATCGACAGTCGAATCTATTTGCCAAACACTTTGACTAGGAATGAAAGTAAGCTCCATAATTATGTTGAGCTTACTTCCATTTCAAATGAAAGTGTTTGTTGAAGAGATTCGAAGATCAGTTCCACCAGAAGACGACAGTGGATTCCTCTTGACCAGTCAATCGACAGCTGGTCAAGAGGAATCTGCCGTCGTTTTCTGGTGGAATCGATCTTCAAATCTCTTCAACAAACACTTTCACTCGAAATGGAAGTAAGCTCAACAATTATAAAACAAGATATTTCTCGAAGCCCAACTTATCTTCGCATATATAATTGTTGTTTTTAGTTATCAGCGTATATGATGTGTAGGATAGTTGCGGATTATCTCCTTTACTTTATGTCAAAATGCAGTTATAACAGGGATGAGCTCCAGCCCTGGCAATGACCATCACTTGACGGAAGAAAGATGGTTGCTAAGCTCCTTTCCATTTCGAGGGAATTATGCTATGCAGAGATTCGAAGCTTGAACCCACGGGAAGAGGACGGAGGATTCCCTTTGATAGACTCGACTTTCCATCCTCTCAATCACAAAGTGTTGGGCGAGATGGAAGTGAGCTCGACAATCATAAGGCCAAAACCTCCTTGAAAACCAGCATTTCTTGGCGCGAAGCATCAGCACGTTTTCATCAGAAATGAGGGAGGATGCCTTGTGTACTACGTTAGTCTGAAGGACAGCGCAAATCATCCGTTGTCTTAGGGTGAACTCGACCTACGAATCTGTCACATCATTCACTTTTGCATTACATAAAGATATTTACAATAACTCTCCTTGGCCTTGCATCTAAAATTATCTCCCAGCTTATATCGGACATTGCCTGGGCCACATCAGCAGGCCTGAGAGAGCTGGAATACAGCTGGAGCGTGTATGCTGGCAACTGATTACACACTTCGTCACACAGCCAGGGATTAGGATGCATTTTTTATGTCTTTTGGTCTAGTGAAGTTGTTACTTATAAAAGTTAAATTCATCCTATTTCGTTTCAGATAACGCAGGACTAGTAGTGGACATTCCCCACAATCATATAAGTACGCCTTAGGTTTCCAATACATTTCCCTAAAGGTATTCTTATTCAGAGTGGACTTCGCCAAGGCCTCACCAGCTCCCCGGCCTGAATGGCTGCAACGGTTTTCACTTTCTATTTTCGACCCTTTCCCAGCGGAATTCGAACAGTTTAACTCTTTTCTGTTATACCATGTGGATGGCACTCAGAATAAGTAAAATTGATCTCATTTGGTCATATGTGGGAACTCTTAAATTTTTCTACAAAAGAATTCACACTACTGATAAATAATAAGCAGTAACTTTATTAATTGTGGTTTTATCAGGAGGTTGATTATTGTAAAGGAAGGCCAGGATAGACTGATGCCTTAGCGATAAATACGAGCCAAAACTGTTAATATGCCTCAAAACCAACTAGCAATTAGACGCTAGATTGCAGCATTTTGAGATGCGTGGCAAAATAAAATGCACTGAAGGTATCAGGCGCTCACTTCAATTAATCGCAGACTAGTCAGCTAACATTGAAAAGGAGTTTACATGACCTGGCTTGCATCGACCTCAAACTTTTCATACATGGCTGAAAATGAGGCAGATTTGTTGTGATGACATTCCTTGTCATCTCTGTTTCGCTATAGATCTTTGATATTCCAACAGCGTTAAGGTTAACGCCTTCTCTTTCAGGTCTGATTAGAGTTGCAGCTGAGTTGTCTCGTTCCAATAAAAACAGACTTGCATTTTTCTTCTGATATGCCATCTTTTAGAAAGAAATATGATCCATTGTAGAGATCCGGCTGCTACAAGATTGTTTGCTCATGTGGTCGATGTTATGCTCGTGAGACATGTCGACCTATTCTACAAAGATTGGGAGAACGCAAAAATGCTTGCAAAGGTAGCTGGATCCAAAGGTCAGTAGTGGCCGAACACATGTTAGAAACTGGACATGAAATAGAATGATCTAAAACTAGTATGTTTGC